CTAACTGACTAAATTGTATTTTAGTTTAATATAGTTTGAAACCTAGTAATTTCCATCGAAGTTTACAACCCGTTTCTTTTCTTTTCGCTTGTACAATTCATGTGAGCTTTTTGAGTGTATGTGCTAATACTACATATAAGCCAACATTGTAATTTTCAAGCTGAGGGGGGGGATTAACGTATTAATGTTGATACTTGTATTACTGGAATACGTTTAACGAATTGGACATGAACAAGAACTGAGATATTCAAGATTCTGAACATGTGATAGTACTCAGTAGGGACTCTACTGTGGACAATTAGGTGGTTTTCCAAATATAGATTGGTTTTTACACTGAAATTAGAATTGCACATAATATAGGAACGACACCAATCTGACACCTGAAAATGACACTTTGGGAATCTCTAATTAACGGGAGTACCATGAGAGAGGCTCTCAGGCATGAAATGGTTGTTAGTACAAACCTATGGTATATTTCGATAATAATCTCAGAGCAAAATAATCCACTGAGAAAAGACAGGATCAGAGTTGTTAGAATTTAGGACAACATGGTTTTGATTCCTCCTAGCCAGCCAACTAGATGTGCCCGTCTATGCCTTAAATGGGATGGAGAGCTAGGTACCAAGTGATGGGGTTTAGGTGCAGATGTATAATACTGCACTGACTTGGTGTTTTGATTTTATTTTTGATTTTCTTAAAATGGACTTAGAGATATTTTATTGGTTAGTTTGATTAGGTAATTGTTTCGAGGCGTGAAATGTAAACTATGCGTCCAATGAAATGATATCTAGTCTTAGTAACTAAAACATAAATAAATTTAGACCGAAGTAGTGAGTGATTAGAGCGGAGCATATAGACAATATCCTCAGTCTAAAATCCCCTAATCTTTTGCTCACTACCAAGGGCTGAAGCTAAACTTATTTCACATTTCACATTTTAACGTTTAACGTATTTTCTTATTAACGTAAACGTTTTGGTATCGAATAGTCAGCCTAGAGGAGTCCGACTTTTACAATGGAGGATATGCGCTGAGTCAATTCGAGCCGGTGCTGGCAAAACACTGATACCATCGAATGTGCCATGTATTGGCTTGCTGGCCTACCAAGTAGCGTACCCACCTCTGTGGTACGGATCGCGTCTGCGCCGTGTAGTGCCGTGGAATGAGTTGGTGCAGAGTACGAAATACCGAGTAGGACCAGGCTATCCGTCATAATTCGGTCGAGGAGCGAGGATGGGGGTGAGCCAATGCCGCACCACACCACGGATGCATTCGGGATGTGCTGTCTGGCCTGGATCGATAGTATCATAGGCGGGACCAACAAGCGCGATGATTTAGTTTGAACCGAAATTTGGAAGTAGTACTTCTAGAGCGTGATTAGCTAGGGTATGGAAAATATCTGTCGATTCCCATAGTACTGTCGTATCTGGTGCGGTTACTGAGTTGTTGTACTCGTTTAGTTGATTTTTAAAGTGCGCAATGAATTATATTCCAAGGTATACAATGAATTTAGTTGATTCGTGTCTCCTTGATAAACGTAAATTGTGACCCATTTGGACGAGCGAAAAACGTGAGCACATGTTGCCTGGACTTTGTTCAACGAGTTTTCTTAATAAGGGTATGCAGTCTTTTTGTGATCGCTTTTTCGCTCCCATTACTGTTGTTTGGTGTGGTCTAGATACCAGGTGCTGTTTTCGAGAGTATGCCATTCACATACTCTGTGCCTTGGCCCGCCTGTATGACTTACG